TCTCATAAGCCTGCTTTTATTTTAGAAAATAAGGAAAGTAAACTAAAAAAATGGGGGTTGTAATTTTTAAGTAAATCCACAGAGTATATACACGGAAAATAACACAGAAGAGGAATTTCATTATTGACGGTGCTTTTATTACAGTAACTATGATTCAGAAATTAATATGAGGTTCAGGTATATAAGTATATGTATATATATATTTAAATCAATTCACGTCAGACATTGTATCAGGTGCACATTATATGTTGAGTCCAACATAGCAACTACAACAAGTATTTAGAAAGGGCCTAATGTTGAGAGGGGCATATAGTGTACTTCGGAGAGATAAATACGCCATTTTGTGTGAAGAACATGAGAAGAAGGAAACATTTGTAAGATAGAGCAAAAACTGCAAAATACTATTGCAACTGATAACAATGAAATATTAAAATTAAGAACATACAAAATAATAACTAAATTAACAGTATATCAGTGGATGGGAAATTTGGGCACTAAGAAAGAAGCGCACGAGAAGGATGAGAGCTCTACATTTCAAAATTCTCAAACCATTTGTGTGTGTATTCAAGTAGGGACCATTAACACAACAAAAATTTTAGGGGGAAATTCGGAGCAGTCAAAATTAAGAGAACATTGGGAATATACGCAGATTGAGACGGAGAAATCATCGTAAGTTGCCTTATCTTCGGTAAATTAGAAATATGGAGTAGGCTGGTCGAAAGGGTAATGTTTCTGACTTGTATTCGAGAGATGACCGGTTCATATCTTGACTGGGTGACCAGTTATCCTCACTGAGGTTCTTGTTGTTTCCCTCAGACCTTTCAAGTATATGACAGCATAGAACCTCAAATTAGGTCACGACTACTCCCTTCACATCCCCTCTGATTCAGTATTTAGTGAACCATGTAATGTTGAAGGTCTGTAGATCTAGATACTGGCAGCGTCATCAGATAAACCACAAATAAATAGACAGGAAAACTAAACTAAACTCCGTGGCTTGAGCCCGCAAGCGAACTATACCGACCGAGCGATCGCCGCTTCTAGGCGTAGTTAGTGCCAATTTCTGCGGATAGAGGGTGTCGCGTGGTCAGCGCAACGAATCCCCAAAGCCGTTAATCTCGGTTTTCTAGAATGGTGCCGCTGTTTCCTTGAAACAGCTCCTCGGTTATCCTTACGAGGCTGAGCGGACCCCGTCCAGACCCACTACTTCTCCGAAAATCTGGCAGCTCAGGGAATCGAACCTGGGACCTCTGGATCTGTAGCCATGACCTCTGACCACTAGATCACAGAAGCGGTCAAATAAGCAGAAAATCGGTGCGAATTTGGATATTGGATTCAACTGGCTTAGGACAAGGCGTAATAATATGTAATTGTGAGACTGTGATGCATCTTGGGGGTGGAATAAAAGTGTGACATTTCTGATCAGTTGAGTAACTATCAAGAAAAATGTTGCACAGAATTACTGGGATTTTGGACTTTTTCCGTCGTCCGGAATTTTAGGTAATAGAGGACATGACGATTAGCTTTATCTAAGGGGCTCAACTGAATAGGTGTCTTCCTTTCTCACCTGAAGACGGAAACAGATCCAGTTTCCGAAACGTCGTGTCCTCCATTACCTAAAATTCCGGACCATGGAAAAAGTCCAAACCCCCAGTAATTCTGTGTGTCTTCCACCATCGTCAGAAAACTTTAGAATCTACAATAAAAAATGTTGTACCATGACATTTCACTTGTAGATAATCCTTTAAAGTGATGGATGTATGGTGCGTAGTAAAACGTGCATTTATCCTGTTGTGATCTTTAAGAACTTATTTAATGACATTTGATACACATAAGCCACTNCCCAAGTTTTTAATACTTTGTGGCAGATTGTTGAACACTTTTATGCCAGTAAAGTAGACTCCTTTTTGATATACTGATAAAGTTGATGAGGGTAGGTGAAAGTTATATTTTTGTCTAGTATTCATGTTATAGACTTCAGAATTTAATTTGAATTTATCTTTGTTGTAAACAACAAATAGGAGAAGCGATAATATGTATTGCGATTGAAGAGGTGACATTAATTGCAGTATGCTTTATTTATACGTTAAATTGAACAAGGAAACAGATGAAAAAAACATGAGCTGACCTATACAAGCATGAGCTTCTGATGTAACGTAACATTGCAAAGTTTCGACTTGCACGTTACGACTTTGAGGTGTGTACGACAGGACGAACATTCAAATGAACAGGTTACACATTCGTGATGCACCGAGTGCTCGCAGCAATTGGTCGGAACGCGTGATCTTTACAGGCAGTTAACGCAGTTGTGTAGAAGCAGAACTGTGTATAGTGGTGCGAATTTGTTGGTGGACTTGAAGTTCAAAGAAATCAGTGCGTAACACAAAAATTGTACTCTCATTACACTAGCAGAATTTGAATTCTTGATTAATTTAATAGACCCGAAATTTGCTAGGAGGGATGCCACATACAGATCAATTATTCAGGACGAAAAGAGCCTAGCATTGCCACCATGGTTTTTGGTTACGGGCGATTCGTGCACCAGCCTGGAATACATTTCCAAAATTTCGAAACAAGGAATCCGCCAGATTATTTCAGAATCCCACAGCCTTCGCTAATTCTTTCCAGCGTCAAATTTCGTGTACTTATTGAAATACTTCGGATGTGTCGAATCCCACAGCAACAGGCTTAGCTTTTTATAGTTCTACGAATGTTAACATGATTTCATTATTCCAGTCCATTGAAGATTACAATACCCAGAAAGGGGAATAAAAGCGGCCTCCGTAGTCTAGAGGTAACGTTCCCACCTCATGACTCGTAGTACGCGGGTTCAAATACCCGGCGGAAGTCGTGGAATTTTTAAGGGCGGAAAAATTCAGGGAACAAGTCCTCCGGGAGGGACTTTAAGCTGTGTGTCCCGTGTCATAGCTTTACGGCACGTAAAAGAACCTGATATCTCCAAAGGAGGTCACTGAGCCAAATTAACGGACTTTTCCCGCCCAACAGCAGTCTCTAATACCTCTGGTAGATGGGGGAAGCATTATAGATACCTCTCAGCTAGTAGAGCCGGTCTCGCTGGCTGGGCGGGACTGATGGTAAGCACCAGTACCGGTAGGATATAGAGACTGGTAGAAATCATAGAGGGAAGCACAATGGACCAATACAGGTCTCAGTGCATGGTGAAACCCACCCTCTCCAATAACTAACTAGGGGGAATAAAAAATATAGAGTGGAGAAATTACGTGGACCCGACGAGGAACGAGCTTCAACCGGCGAACACGAACAGAAACACACACACACACACACGGTTTAATGGTGTAATGTAAGATCCTTCGATGCTCGCTGGAAAACCGACAGTTGGGGAAACCGAACAAATGCGAATGATGAAGTAACACCGTACACACTTGTCGCATCACGCAGTTACGCTACGACAGACTGCACAAGTCAAGTGTGTATCCGGTCTAGGAGTCCCAGGCAGTGGCTGTTACAGTAGTCAGACTTCCAGGACTATAAACCCGTAATCAAAATATCGCTGATGTGTTCTATGTAAGACTCTGTTATCATCTACGTAAGTTACGAAGAACTGGTATCTCTTGGCCACTTATTAACTCTTCAAGAATGTAACTGCTAAGAATTGGGTCTATCTGTATATTACATAGTTAAACGTTGCAGCTACTGGGTCTGGCAAGTCTTTAATATTGTCACAGAATTCGTGAACAATGAGCATAGTTAAAAAAAAGGACGTGGAAAATGATGAAGCAATATACATATTTCTTTAATTTTTGAGGAGGTGAAAATGAGTCCACTTGGAACGACGGTCACTAGAGGGCCTACTGTACCAGCCCCGGATAGATGAGTGTGGAGCAGTCGGTGAAATGAGAATTGGCAGGGGAAACCGAAGTCCTAGGAGAAAACCTGCTCCAGTGCCACTTTGTCCACCACAAATCCCACATGAGTTGATCTGGGATCGAACCTGGTCAGTAACCAGGAAACCGGCGACTAACCACCAGAACCATGGCACAGTCTGCTTAACCAACTCATTCGTTCAGATAAATTAATGTCTTATAAAATCCTCGACAACAAAAATGACATAAAATACTCAATCTAAGATAAACCGACTTCCTTAGTACGGAATCAGCCAAGTGCTAGGTCACACACGAAGCCCCTATCTTGAAGACAAAGATGTGATATCGCGTTGCGTAGCCAGGGCTGTCGCACACCTGAAGGAGTGGTGACAGGTATGAAACAATGGCTGAATTATGAAAGATATGGGAAAACCGAAGGAACTCGGAGAATAACATACTGGAGTGCCACTACGTGCACCATGAATATCACATTTGACGTGATCCGGGATTGAAGTCAAGTCTCGTCGTTGGGAAGGCACTGACTAACCGTGTGAACCATGGCACGAGCTTGAATTGAACCCGCGACAACACAGCACAATCAGCGCAGATCACAAAAATGACAGTGAGAAATCTGTAACCTACAGAGTTTTTCTTGCTATATATTTCCTTTCTATTTGCAATACACAAGTACTTAAGTTGTATATGCTACTTATTTCACAATTTGAAATAGTGACGTCATTTAAATGAATTTTCAACTTTTATTCACTGTTGAGAGATATTCCGACGTTGCCGTTCATAAAAATCGTAAGAACACCAAGAAAAATGCGCTCTTTCCTCTCAAAATCCATTTTATAAAACTTTGTTTTAATGAAAAAATATTATGCCCTGATTTAATATCAGCAAAAGTTCTTATCATTATTAATTTAAGTATCTAGTGTTCTTTTGTTACCACAACCTTATTGGCTAGTGAAATCATTCTTATAACCTATACTGACATTACCTTTCAATCACGATCCTATTACGAGGTACAAATATATCCAAGGAAAAATTCGAACTGATATCCCTGGACACACACTTTGTCTGTGGAGCACGGCAATGAATGCTAGTCAAGACGAACCCAGTACCCTGACACTGCTTTTCTTTTTTGGCTTCCAGAGCTGACAGTAACAACATGCAGGGCGGGAAAATGACTACCAAGGAGAAGGGCTCCGAGAGAGAGATCAGCAGCAAGACGGCCCAGAAACAAGAATTCGTGCCTCCTGATGGTGGCTGGGGATGGATCGTTGTCTTCGCCTTTGCCCTTAGCAATGTAAGATTGACGTTTAATCCTTTTAATCACAGTAGTTACTACAATAAATGTTTCCATGCTTCAGCACATTGAAGCCCTCCCTTCCGCCCACAGAGTGTATTTATGTGTCACGTAACCTTCTCACAATAAATAGGGATTGATTCCATAAAGAACATTAACCGGCTGGACTTTGTAATGGAGATATAATATTTCCTACGAGGTACGAACTTATTTCTATATATTATTTAGAATAAATTCAGTCTTTAAAGTGGAACTCCAGTGTAGAGGCGGAGTCGGATACCTCCACCGTGACCCTGCGCGTCGTAGGAGGCGACGAAAAGTAAGTCTGAAATCTGAGACAGTAAAATATGGTCGTGAGTCCCTAGGGACTCAGACCCGAGAAAGACTACGCTGGTAAGGACCAGCAGCATATAAAAAAGACAGACCCGTCCTCTTGTCGGAGAAGGCACCCCACAAAAACAAGACCGTAACTGTCAAACAGTAATAAATATATATCCGTGAGCGCCAGATGGGGCTTGACATCAAGACTTACTGACTGACTGACTGACTGACTCACCGTCAGTCGCAATATGATTTTGACCGATTTTGACTGACTTTTACGTTGAATCTTTAAAGTGGAACTCCAGTGTGGAGGCTGAGTTGGATACCTCCACCGTGACCCTGCTAGTCATGGGAGGCGATGAAAAGGGAAGTTTAGAATATGTGACAGTAAAATATGGTCACGAATCCCAAGGGGCTTGGACCCGAAAATGACTGCGCTGGCGAGGACTAGCAGCAATTGTAAACGAGAGACCCGTCCTCTCGTCAGAGACAGCGTCCCACATCGACAAACCCGCAACTGTCAGACAGTAATAGAAACCTGGTTGTAAGCCCCAGATGGGTGCTTTATTCCAAGACAGACTGGCCGACTGACCGTCGGTCATAATATACACGTAAGACTCAGACTCAGACTCAGACCCAGTCTTTAAAGTTTAAATTACTTTACGACGCTTTCGAAACATGTAAGTCAAAATAATAATGGATTATAAATAATTTAGGGAGGCGACCATTTGTCTGTAGGGAATAACTAAAACTTCAGTCAGATACCCTCAAAGGGGAAGGGTACGTTCTTTCGAAATATCGGTAAATATTCAACCGGGCTATGGGACATCACTCCAAGGAAAACGATTTTGACAGTCAATCCCGTGAGAGTCTCAGATCTTAATTATCTTTTGTATACAAACAAACTGTAACAAAAATGCTTATGGGAATTTAAAAGATGATCCTGTCTTGTCCTGTGTAATGCAGAGAAAACTGCAAAATAGTAATCTCTTGTATCTTTCGGCTACAATTCTTTCTGTGAGCTTTACATTTATTTTATTCAGTTGCTACCAAGTAGTCGAGTATGACGGAACACGTATGTAGCCTGCTTCTACCTTCAAAGACTGTGTATCAAATTTGTTTTCATACACAGATTTTTCATCTAAAATTCTGTCAAAAAAAAAAGTAGAAAGGATTATGTACGAGTACGTAATATATATGCAAAAAGAATTAGGGTGTTCGATGGCCGCGCCATAGCTCAAGCGGTTAGTCGCTGGCTTCCCACCGCGGCGGTCCGGGTTCGATCCCGGGTCTGGTCAAGTGGTATTTGTGGTGGACAAAGTGGCGCTGGGGCAGGTTTTCTCCGAGTGCTTCGGTTTCCCCTGCCAATCTTCATTCCACCAGTTGCTCCACAATCACCCTCACCTATCATCTGCGGCTGGTACAATAGGCCAGAAGTGGCCGCAGTACAAGGGACTTGGTCCCACCCCACCAGCATTAAAAAAAATTAGTGTCCGATAATATGACGTATATTCTAACAGATACATGACTCTACCAACATTCTTGAGGACCCTGCTCTACCCATTTTGCATGCAGAAGCTTCATAACATCTTTTATGTAAAATATATACACTCACATAATATACTGATTGTCACGTGTTTATGGCTCCGTGACTAAAAATAACGGGTTCTGGATTGGATGATTGGATTTATTGGCGTCGTCTTCTGCAGTCTCTCTTAATAACAATCAATTACAATAATTCACTATAAACCTTCAGCCGAACCCTTCTTTCTTGACTGCCTATGACTTGTTCTATTCTCGATCTGGTGATACGACTGACTTCTGAATTACGACTGCACTACTTATATGGTCTTGAGGCGGATCTATAGAAAACACATCCGTTGCCCAGCAAAGAATATATGCGAACCACATATAAACACATCTTTCTCTGTAAGATTTGAGGCTTTCACGGCGGTGACTAAGAAGAAAGCAGTCTTCTGGGATTTGGCACCGTGTATATGTGGTGTTAACCGACGTTTCGGAGGAACGTATCGCCTCCATCTTCAGGGTAGAAGAAAAAATATAAGAAATCTGCAAGCGAAGAGACCGTGAGAACCGGTAAAAGCAGACTGTGTTGGAAATATACACAGCTATGTGTGAGCAGAGAAGGAAGGGGGGAACGGCAAGTATAGAAGTGAAAACAGTAGTGTGGGTGGGAGGGGGAGGGTCCTGGGAGAAGCCTGGTTTTTGTGTAGGGGAGAGAAAGGCAAGGTTAAAGGGTGGGCACTAACCCGTAAGCTGAGGGGGGGTTGTTATGTTGGTTGGTCATGGCCTGTGTGGCCTTCTGGATCAGGCATCATATCCAGGTGGGGCTTTTAATAGAACAGATGAGAGGTTTCCAAGACTTGCTGAGACAAAACCCCCCTTTCTGTTCATATTTCCTGGACGCATTCCAATCTCAATTGCCCAACCCCCTCAGCTTACGGGTTAGTGCCCAGCCTTTAACCTTGCCTTTCTCTCCCCTACACAAAAACCATGCTTGTCCCAGCTCCCTTCCCCTACCCCTCCCACACTACTGCTTTCACTTGTATACTTGCCCTTCCCCCCTACCCTCTCTGCTCTCACATAGCTGTGTATATTTCCACACAGTCTGCTTTTACCGGTTCTCACGGTCTCTTCGCTTGCAGATTTCTTATATTTTTTCTTCTACCCTGAAAATGGAAGATTTCTTATATTTTTTCTTCTACCCTGAAGATGGAGGCGATACGTTACTCCGAAACGTCGGTTAACACCACATATACACGGTGCCAAATCCCAGAAGACTGCTTTCTACATCTTTCTCTATTGTTGTATTTACAGTGCGTTGCATAGCAACTGAAGTTACCCGATTGCTGCCGCGTATTGTTGTAGGCTTTACCTAGCAAAGGGCTGTTTACCAAAAATCTCTCTCTACGGGAACGTGTTTATAGAGCCGTTGCTTAGCAGTGAGTCGATACGTCACAATATTATTTTCTTATTATCAAATTTTAATTGTTTTTAAATGAAAAGTTCCAGACATCCATGTATCACATATAATAAAATTAACTTATAAAATATTAAAACTTCCGCATAAAAACACAAAAGAATTTAGAGGAAAGTAACTTATAAGACGAAAGAGGGTTTAGAAAATAAGACAATTCAGCAAGTGAGAAATTTTGTTTCTTTAGTTACTATGAGAGAGTCAATGATTTTAATATGAAACTAATTAGACTGCAACAGTTCTGTTGCACTGTAAAAGGCACACTGCTGTGAAAATATCAGAAACGTACTACTCGTAATTATGGTACTTATTTGCCTTGAGGGAGAAAGGAGAGTCACGGATTTCCCCAGCCAGTGCAGTGTTGCCTATTCGATTGAGATATTCTGAGATGATGATGGTTATGATGATGATATAGAGACTCTATGATGTGAATTTCCAGGTGATCGTTGTACCTATTCTTCAGTCCTTCGGTTTGCTCTTCAGAGAAAGATTCGAAACACTGGAGATATCAGGCACTGACGCGTCGGTCATAATCAACGTCAACTCTGCCTTCGGCATGATTCTTGGTAAGTAGTTCATGGCCAGTAAATATCTCCGCATTACTGAATCTGACTTGAATTGAAGGAACATCTGCTTTGAGTGTCGACAAGAAATTATCTTGCTAAGTTGTTATAACTCTTATCTAATTTACCATGACGAAACCTGCAGCAGCATTTTCTCGCATCTCACAAAGTTCAGTATCCATAGTCGTCATTAATGTGATCGGTTAGAACTTCTGCAACCTCAGGTGTCGATAAAGCGTCATTAAGTATGTTATGGAGAAGTCAGTCGATCCACATCAAATGTACTTAACCATTTTCGTTTCACACCCCCCTTTCCATGCTCAGATTTCTCACTTTCTCCCGTGTTTTTAAGGGTTGGTGAAATAAGAGGGATGAAGTGACAGGAGGTTGGAGGAAACTGCATAATGAGGAGCTTCATAAATTCTACTCTTCTCCAAGTATAATTAGAATGATCTAGTCAAGGAGGATGAGGTGGGCAGGTCATGTAGCACGAATGGGGGAGACGAGGAATGCATATAGGATATTGGTGGGAAAGCCAGAAGGAAAGAGGCCACTGGGAAGACCAAGGCGTAGGTGGGTGGGCAATATTAGAATGGATCTTAGAGAGATAGGATGGGATGGTATGGATTGGATAGATTTGGCTCAGGTTAGGGACCAGTGGAGGGCTCTTCTGAACACGGCAATGAACCTTTTGGCTTTATAAAATGCTGGGAAGTTCTTGAGTAGCAACGCAATTGGCGGCTTTTCAAGAAGGGCTCAGCTCCATTAGTGAGTGAGTGAGTGAGTGAGTGAAATGAAGAAGTACTAATATCTTCATTTGTACTAGAACCTTCTCGGGCGAATCCGCCCTGTCAGGGTCAGTGTGGGGAATGACGATACATATCCGTTGTTATATATACAAGTGTATACATATGCCTGTCAACATAATGCCTCACCCTAACCTTGAGAGGCACTGCAAAGAGAACCTGGAATTTTATATATTAATCTATTGGTCTGATATGGACTAAATTTAAATTTGCAGGTACATTGTCATCTCATATAACTCATATGGAAGCTATCAGTTTGAGTCGTGACGCATTCAATATATCAGTTTTGTTANTCAAGTTCGTATAGCAACAGGCGTGACCAGAGTGGTTTGAACGGCTGCTGTACTGCGATGTGGAAAGCAAATGGAAAAACTACCACATTATCACTTTTCCTGGATAGTCTCTTTCCAAAAACAGAAGATCGCATTAAGTGGAGGAACTGTTTTGGAAGAGATTGTGGACCTGTCGTCTGACAGATTACTGATGAATCATGAATGAATTGTGTATATTTCAAGAAGTATATAGAAGTTTATCTTAATACAGATCGGCAGATTTCACCTTTCCACTGAGGACATAAACAGAGGCGTAACGCTCTGTTCGGAATAATAGACAATGTGTGAAACCCAGAAACTCAGTAATGCGAGGCGTGATAGGGTCTCCAATGTTCATTACATTTGTAACAACAGTTTTGCGTCTGCAACAGAAGACCATAAACTTCAACGAGTTTTAAAAAATTAATAAAACACCAATTGACAAATTGTGTACCCCACTGGAGTACACTTATGATAAGACAGTTCAATAATTTATGAGGATAATGGAAGCGGGGAATTGAGAACTGCTCTTTCCTTACACGAAACAAGAAGAAGAAGAAGAAGAAGAAGAAGCAATTATTGAACAAATTAGAAGCGGAGCAGAACATGGAGTGCTCAACGAAGATAAATTTTACGAAATCGGCGCTAGGTTTGGACATTGCCATGGAAATATCAGACGCCTTGCATAGGTGAACAGGGCTTAAATTGTCAGGATTCCGGGTAAGATCTGAGCTCCTCACAGCGGTGGTTATGAACAGTTATATCGTCTGGGATATACCGTCATGTAGTCCACTGAAAGATAACTGACGTTTCAAAGGATCATGTCGCCTCCATCTTCAGGTTCGAAGAATAAGCCAAGCAAGAAACCAGTGTGAAGCAGGTGGCAAGCAGATTGTGGAGATGGAGGCGGAATATTATTCCGAAAACGTCAGTTGACTTTCAACGGACTACATGGCGTTTCGTCCCAGAAGATAAAACTCTTCTTTCAGGCTCCAAGTTTTAAGTGAATACTTACCACGTATAAACTATTGTGATTATTTGTTGATAAGAGCATTCGTTGTCCAGTAAAATCCATTTGCAGCCGAACCCTCAGTGTTGTCACTGTCACGTGACAATATTTTAGTAACGCAATTGGCCCTGGGTTTATAATACAATTCAACTCTATCCCTGTCAAAACTTCGAAAGCTTCCGATTCTGTATTAGACCAAAGGGAATTTCAGAACTTATGATTTATTTCTTGTTTTCTGTGACATTTATTCTGCTTATAAAGGAGCTGCTAACATTGTTTTGTCTCTGCAGGTCTTCTCAACGGGTTTCTCCTGAGAAGTTTCGGCTACCGCAAGATTTCTATAGCAGGAGCTGTTATAAATTCTATTGGAGTCATTCTCACAAGTCAAGCTGATTCTTTCGGGTTCTTCCTCGCCACATACGGCATCATCTCATGTAAGTGTGAAACAAATGAGTAACAAATGTTCAAAGAGTATGGAAAATGTTGTGACATGTAATGTCATACGTACCGGTCACGGTAGCCGAGAGGTCTAAGGCATGTACTCTCTTCCGCCCGCTCGGAAGATGGGATCGTGGTTTCGAACCCCAATCAGTGCATGTATGTTTGGTGTGTGTATGCGCTTATTCCGTGTTTGTGTTGTCCTGTGTTTAGGTAGAGGCCTTGCGACGAGCTCATCACTCGTCCAAGGAGTAATACCGTCTGTAAAAAAATGATCAATGAAACTGAGAAATCAGCCCTAGGTTCCAAAAGCGGGAGCGAGAGGAAAAAGGTCATATATGTATGTCCCTTTCACTTACCCATCTATTCGGAGGCCCTCCTACTGTGCGGCAAACTGAAGTAAAATTCTCACCGAAAGCCAGCGAATTCCCTGCCTTTGGATTTGAAGAAAACAGAGAGTTACATGACGTAAACAGAGTTACGAATATTTTAGTGAATCGTGCTCCCTCGGCCTTAAGAATCTATCCTGAAGATGGAGGCAACATTTTCACCTATCTACCAAATTAAACAGCGTCATATTCCAGAAAACAGTGACTGTCATACTCACCGTAGAGAGAACCCAGAACACCACTTTGGACTAACATTATTACGTCGCACGGTTTACCAGGAATGGATCAGTCAATAAAGTGACTAGACTGGACGACAGGGAAATCGGGCTTCGAAACCTGTCAGAGACAGAGGTGTCCATCCAGAATCTTATACAATTGTTACTGAAAGCTATTTCCGTTGGGATAAATCGATCGACGAGTGAAGCTGATCACTCGCTTCCAAAAATAAAGTGAAATAACGTAAAATTTTCAAACACATTCATTTTCACAATTCAAATAGTGATTTCTAAGTTTGTGTGTGTTGAAGCTCGGTTTTTATCCTTGAAGAGATAATATTTACCGCGCATTGCTAACAGTTTTTAGAACTTACTTGAGTCAATGTGTGCTAGGTTTTGTCTGGTAGGAGACAGAATTACTCCTTATCTCATTGTTTTGCTAGGAAACTGCGAGAGAAATGTAAATACATATGTATACTTAGCGATGTCGTGTCACAAAAGTGAATGCTGTCGCTGTACTACAAGTTGTGCTTGCATACAACTTTACGTATTTTTAAACAGTAACTACTGTATCCTTGAATGTGATCCCCTGCAGTCTAGTCGAAGCCTGCCGGAATTTAGGAGCAGCTTATTGCCTCCATTTTCAGGATGGAAAATCAAGCCAAGCAAGCAAACAAGCAAGCAAGGCCTTTTTCAGTTACCGTAGTAGGAACTTTAAATTTCACACTTATTTGCCTTTCTTCAGAAAGCAATAAAAAATTACAAACAAACTCCGTGGCCTGTAGTCCGCAAGCGAATTATACCGACCCAGCGACCGCCGCTTGCCGGCGAAGTTAGTGCCAACGTTTGAAGAAAGAGGGTGTCACGTGGTCGGCGCAACGGTTCCAAGAGTATTTAATGGAGAGTATTTAAAAAAAGGGATAATAATAATAATAATAATAATAATAATAATAATAATATCGTTCTCTATTCATCACGGGCTGAACCAAGAGCTCGTTGGCCAGTTACAGGGTGAGCACGAGAAGGAAACAGAATGAACAAACAACAAAGACATGAAAAAATGAAGGAATAAGAGTTAAACTACATCGTGCATTGAATTAATACATAATTTACTAAAAACACGGACAGATTTACAAACTGCACAAGCAAGAACTCACTAAATATTTGGAAACAAGTTAAAATGCGCCTACACATCTAATTATGTGTTGTAGATTTTAAAGTAATTACCCAAAACCACTGAGAGATTTACGAAATGCATCGTCAGCATAGGCATAACTAGCAGAGGCACAATTACTGGAGGAAGTACGGATAATTACATTACAATTCTGCATGTACAATAGCAAAACAGTCCGAACCTGTAAAATGAAGAGGCGTCGGGCCATGAATAAAAATAGAAAACGTCTAAGGAGTAGATATTTTCGGTTTCACTTTCAATATGACTTCATGAAACATGTGACGCAAGAGATATGGCTTATCTCCACGGAAGATGAGATAGTGGACATGACTGAGTCATCCTACTTTGTCAGAGTATAGGAGAGAGTAAGGCTTATAAATATCAATTAGATCGCTTTATATACTAAATCAGATATGGTTTCCTAGCGACGAAAGAAGTGGTCATAGATCGTTTTACGCACTCTGGTTCATATGATCTCCTTCGCAACTACTTCCGATCAGAGTGTCCGCGAGGTCTAATGTATGAACTGCATCCGCTCTCTCGAACACTGGGCTCATTGGTTCCAATCCCACTCAAGGCATGGATGTCTGTCTCCGTTTATTCTGTGTCCGTGTTGTCCTGTGTAGGTAACGGCCTTGCGACGGGCTGATTTCCCGTCCAAGGAGTCCTACCGACTGTCTAAGATTAAGAAACTAGAATGAAACGAGGCGTTTCACGGATGCCCTATGCTCGAACTGGGAGCAACAGGAATAGATAGATTCATTCCAGATCATCAAAGGGAGACCGGTCATAGAGGAACGCACTCTGAGGAAAATAAAAGCCATTTTTAAGAAGGACTACAAGCTCTCGCATTACGCGGAATTTTCCAACTACTCCGTATATTGGATTGAAGGTTTGTCTACTTCATCCATAAGATAACATTTACAGAAATCCAAGGAAAAATATCTCATTAAATCATTATATAAATACCTCTGTATATAATAAAATTATAATGATCTAGTGGAAGCCTATGATTCAGTTAGTCGGGAAGTATTGTACAATATTCTAATAGAGTTTGGGATAATGAAACTAGTTAGGTTGATTAAAATGTGTTTAAACGAAACGTATAGTAAAGTCCGTGTAGGTAAACATTTGTCTGATAAATTTCCTATCCAGAATGGTCTAAAACAAGGAGATGCTTTATCGCCACTCCTATCCAACTTTGCGTTAGAATATGCCATTAGGAAGGTCCAGGGAAACCAGGTGGGACTGAAACTAAACGGGACACATCAGCTGTTGGTCTACGCCGATGATGTGAATCTACTGGGTGATAATGTAGATACCATAAAGAAAAACACACAAACTTTAACTGACGCAAGTAAAGAAGTTGGTCTAGAAGTAAACACAGAGAAAACTAAGTATATGTTGCTGTCTCGTCACCAAAATGCAGGGCAAATTCATGACATAAAGATAGGAAACAGATGTTTTGAAAATGTGGCACAGTTCAGACATTTGGGAACAACGATAACAGACCGAAATCTGATTCAGGAGGAAATTAAATGGAGATTGAATTCGGGTAATGCTTGCTACCATTCAGTCCAGAACCTTTTGTCTTCTCGTCTGCTGTCCAAAANACAGAATATTGGTGGGAAAGCCAGAAGGAAAGGGGCCACAGAGAGACCAAGGCGTAGGTGGGTGAACAATATTTAAATGGATCTTAGAGAGACAGGATGGGATGGTATGGATTGGATTGATCTGGCTCAGGATAGGGACCAGTGGAGGGCTCTTATGAACACGGTAATGAAACTTCGCGTTCCATAAGATGCTGGGAAATTCTTGAGTAGCTGCAGAATTGGCGGCTCCTCCAGATAGGCTCAGCTCCATGAGTAAGTAATTAAGTAATAATAATCTAATGGTCAGAGGTCCTGGCTACAGATCCAGAGGCCCCGGGTTCGATTCTCGGCGGTACCAGATTTTCTGAGATTTAGTTTGTCTGGAACGGGCTTCACTCAGCCTCGTGAGGATAACTGAGGAGCTATTTCAAGGAAATAACGGCTGCGGTCTAGAAAACCGAAATTAACTGCCGTGGGGATTCGTTGAGCTGACCATGCGACACCCTCTGTGTGCTAAAGTTGGTACTAACTTCACCGACAAGCGGCGGTCGCTTGGTCGGTATGGTTCGCTTGAGGACTACAACCACGGAGTTTGTTTTGTTTGTAATGATGTTATATACAGTTATAGTAACACTTTGCGCCTATAGGGCGAAGCACGCTCTGTTTGCAAGTAGTGCTAATTCTGTCTGCAGGTGAATGTGCCAGCAACAGTTTCTTTATCGTCAGATATCACCTTCATTAGACATGCTTATTTGCAAGAGCTTCCATTTCAGTATTGCATGTTTGTTGGACTGGATTCCTTAGTACATAAATTATTACATTTCAGCCGTAGGTTTCAATCTTCAGACTTCCGGGTTAAACTTGGCCATTAATACGTACTTCCGGGAGAGGCGTGGCAAAGCCGTGGGATTTGGCATGACAGCTATGGGCCTAGGTCCAGTGTTCATGCCGCTCGTCATTAGTAAGCTAATGAACGTATATGGAGTTATGGGCACGGCGCTTATACTGGGAGGCCTCTCCTTGCATTCACTCGTAGCTGCACTGCTCCTGCAGCCAGTGAAGTGGCATATGAAACCCAAGGAAGTGACTCTCGAAACGATGGAGGATGCGAGAGAAGAGGACGATGAAATTGGTAAGTAAAAACATGACGATAAATTGTCAGTCAACCGTTTGCTTGCTATAGGCGGCGTCAATAGAAGTCAAGTTATTATTCCGTTCCTCCAGTTAGAGCAATATGTGTCGATAGCTCAAGGTAAGTTTACTCTCATGAAGACGTAAGGAAGCCGAGGTATTGTCCCTAGGCTTTAGGTAGTGAGCAGTGGTTAGCTTCACGTCCCGACTGATTCACCCCTGGTAAGTCCCAGGGGTGGCATGGACGGGGTGGGGAAGAGAAATTTCTGTGTCCCGATTCCTTGGTCGTCCAGTTCGTAACCTAGTCACTATGCTGACTGAGCTATGACGGTTAGCAGTTACCTTTAAATGACGAGGAAATATATCCCTAAGAAAAGGTAGAAAGTGAAGGTGTAATAAAACTATTCTCATACTAAGTTTACCTTGATTTCGAGGATACAAAAATCTAAACACGAAGAAAATTGTAGTTATTTTGTGGCCCTGGTGGAAGTAATGATAAAAGAAATCCAGAATTTAAAAACAAGTTTATCATTATTTCTGTAAAAATTAATACTGTGAGATTATTGATTATATTTTTAATTCAGATAAAAAAGATAATAATAACTATTTAATTAAAAAAAAAATACATGCGTTTGACATCTCTTCCAGGAAGGGCATGTAGCACGCATATAACAGATAACAAATTCATACAAAATTCTGGTCTGAAAATCTGGAGGGAAGAGATCACTTCTCAAGAAGAAATCTGTCCCATGGAATTAGTTAATTAGTTAAATGCGAGCACATGCGATTCTCTTTATCTGGAATTATGAACTGTGATGGATTTCCGTTATGCAGAGAAACGGAAATCGCTCTTCAACGACGAGCCGACGACAAGACGGCATCGGACTATAACAGCAGGATCGTCTATCGACCACGATATCGATACCCACTCAGTGTACGGCTTCGAGACACCTCTTTCAGAACGTCGTCTAACTGGCGGAGTCAGTGGTAAGTCCTGCAGTGTTCTGTACTCTGACATATCAAGGGTTCCCGTGCATGGCTATAGCACTAGTCCGTGATCATGCGAGACGCTCTAACTTCGTAACATTCAAATATCTGCAGCATGTAAAGGGGGATTATGACACCATGACCCACACACCTACCTCTAAAGAATAAGTCTTGCAACTGAAGGGGGGGGGGGAGGTATAAACTGTAGTAGAAAAGGTGAAGGTGAAAAATCACGGGGAAAACCTACAGACAGGAAAACTAAATAATATTTAAAAAACACCCTTCCTCCAAAATAAACTCTGTGGCCTGTAGTCCGCAAGCGAACTATAGAGACCAAGCGACTGCAGCTTGTCGGCGAAGTTAGTGCTAACTTTAGCGGATAGAGGGTGCCACGTGGTCAGTGCAACGGATCCCAACGGCCGTTAATCCTCGGTCTTCTAGACCGGAATCGCTATTTCCTTGAAATAGCTACTCAGTTATCATCACGAGGCTAAGTGAACCCCGTTCCAGTCCCACTATTTCTCAGGAATTTGGTAGCGCCGTTCCTACCTCACAGAAAACACACTGCATCAACAATGTAGAAACTAATAATTTATTGCTATTTTGAGGGAAGAATGATGTATATTATTAACAGGGCCCGGATTTTGATGACATGTCATCTTTTTTCCCTTGTATCCTATGCGATGCTCTTAAATATATAAATCTCGGATATGAGCTGCTGGTTACAGAAATGTAAATTTTATAGGTAATTTTTTTGTCTTCTTTTTACATTTTTAGGTTTAAGGTCATTTTTTCATTTGGGGGGTAATGTTTGGTAAATGTTTGAATTTTTAAGGGTATTTCTTGTCATTTTGGGCCATTTTAGGGAATTTTTCTTCATATGTTTTCTGAAATGTGAATAACATGGAAGCGAAGTGTTCTTTCTTTTCTCCTTTAGGTTATTTTTCTGGATTTTTTCGGTCATTTTGTAGCTTATTTTTTAAATATTTTCAGGTCATCAAAATCCGGGCCCTGGTTATAACCATGAGGAAATTCATTAGTGAATCTGAAGATAAAACCGACAGTTGACAAAGATTAATGAAAATCCATTCATTGATTTCGGATGAAACAAACACATACCCTTTCAGACACATTTGGACATATGAATTGTTAAAATGATAATTTAGAAATGTAAATATTGTTTGTATTATTAGTAGTCTCATAATTGAAACAACTCCTTTTTTTCAACAGCGAGAAGAAGATATTCATTGTCATCTTTCAAACGGAGCACCTCGCACATGGACGACAACCCTACCCGACCGTCAGCTTCCGACGTCAGTTGGTGGGCGTCGGCAGCGTCGCTTGACACAGCACACCTAGGAAGCAATTACAGGATCGACGACAACACGTATCAACTGCTGAGCGAAGTCGACGAAGACGAGGATCGACAAGGAAAGACGAAGGAAAAGAAGGAGCCGGAAACAGGGTCGGATTTGGCTCTGTGTAACAGCAACTGCAATGGGACGGGGTGAGTTGATCGCAATGTCTGCACTCAAGTATGAGCTGGTACACCGAAGAACCTGAATGCGATTGCCGGCAGAGCCATAGAGACCTCTCTTCTCCACAACGTTCAGACCGCCTCAGGGACCAACCCTGTCCACTACACGTTGGGTACAGGGGTCTCTATCCTCTGAGGGTAAAGCAACCGGGGCTTGAAGCTGATCACTCACTGCACTTCGTGCCGAGGATAAAAATGCGGTTTCCCACAGCGGCGGGCAGTGTTCGAGTCCGGGTCAGATCATGTGGGATTCATGGTGGATAAAGTACGGTCCTGGGGCAGGTTTTCTCCGAGTACTTCGGTTTTCGCTGCCAAATCGCATTCCACCGATTGCTCCACAATAATTCAATTCAATTCAATTCTTGGTTTTATTTACGTGCTGTACTCAACAGCTGGTAGCCAATTACAGAGTCAGCACGAGGACAAGTGAAACAATATACAGACAGATTGATGAAAATAGTATAAAAATTCAATTGCAATATGCCCAAGTGAAAGAACACAATTAGATGTTAGAGACGAAACCAAGCAGTGTCTAAGTATAACATATGTCAAAGGTTCTACAAAAGTAAATATATTAATGATGAAGTGATAACAAGTGTCCTGCAAAAACTACATGAACAAATTAAANTCCGTAATAATAATAATAATAATAATAATAATAATAATCTATCATCTGGGGCTGGTACAATAGGTCAAACAGTGGTCGCAGTACCAAATGGACACAGTCTCACCCAACTAAGAATAATAATAATGAAAATACCTTCCAATGTTCCAGGCCGGTGCCCAAGAATGGAAACTTACACGATGACAAAGATTCCACGAAGAAGGAAGAGGAGTCAGAGTCAGAGTCAGAAGAGAAGAAAGAGGAACCTACTTTGTGGCAGCGGTTGGGGAGGAGCATCGTAGCATTCTTTGATCTGGGACTTCTGAAGGATCCAGTCTACGTGAACTTGATGCTTGGGATGTCCCTTGCTATCTGCGCTGAGCTGAACTTCAGTCTCTTGACACCGTTCATTCTCAGCGACCGAGGGTTCGATACTGACCACACTGCCATCATCATGTCTGTGATTGCTGGCCTCGATATCGTGTTCCGGTTTCTGGCACCTTTCTTCAGCGACTACTACAAGATCCAGGCGCGTGTGATGTACATCATTGCACTCATAATGCTCCTGTCCTCGCGAACAGGTGAGGTCACCACAGTGGTAACATCAAGTTTTACATTAGGGATCAAATTTGTACACAAATATATGGCGAAATTGATCCTTATTGGTACAGGTACTGCCCATGCTGTTTGAAGTTCAAATGCAACTTCATCCGGTTTCTTAAATAGTACTTTATTCACAATACTACTACTACTACTACTACTACTACTACTACTACTACTACTACTACTACTACTAGTACTACTGCTACTACTAGCAAAAGAGTTAAAAGATATCTTTGTATGCAGCATCATCATGATCATCATCGTATTAGGTAGGCATATTAGGCCTTTTGGTGGGTGAGATTCTTATGCCATTTCCCAAATGTTTTCTGAAACTTCTCTTGTACGTAACAGCGGGATAAAGAAGCGCAGATTGCAAGCTGCCAGATCATAAACGAAATGGAGACAAGACATACAGACCTACACGTCTCAAAATTCGTACTTGCAACATTTTTTCAGTATGCTGAATATTTAATGAAGTGTAGGAGTGAATATGTCCATTCAATTCTTCTGTGTTTATATAATGTATATTCTCGACGTTTCGGAGGCATATGCTGCTTCCGCTTTCAGAGTCGAAGAGTGTAGGCTGGGTGAATTTCAATGAATATATAGTTTTATGTTTCGAGAGATCCACAGATGAAAGACTGGGGCTTGGTACTGCGTCCTGACCAATATGTTACTGGACTGGAAAATTTCAGGTGAACATGGATGTAGAACGTACCTTCGACACATTGACAACACTGCCCACATCCACACTGTGTAAACATCTAAGAACTGATTTATACTAGGGGGAGGGGGGGAGGAGACTGAGTCTTGTTGGCACTGCGGCCACTGTTTGAACTATTGTACCAGCCCCAGATGATAGATGATTACTATTATTGTTGTGGAACAGTCGGTGGAATGCGAATTGGCAGTGGAAACCGAAGTACTCTGAAAGAACCTGCCCAAGTGCCACTTTGTCCACCACAAATCCCACATGATCTCACCAGGGCTCGAACACTAGCCGCCGCGGTGGGAAGCCGGCGACTAACCGCCTGAGCTATAGCACGGCTTCCTTATTCGACTCACGTGTTTCTTCTGTATCCGCTAAATATTTTTTCATGTCTAGTTTTATCGTTCGCGAATGAATGACGACAAGCGAAACCATCTTCTCCATAGCTTCCGATGTCTCGGGAACAAAATCAGCCGATCTCTTCTCATGCGCCCTTCTCCCGTCTGTACTTTATGAAATGTATTTGTCGGATTTCATACAGATTTTCTTTCTCTGTATATAGATATTAACGTTTCTTTTAGAGACCAGTCCATCATAGGAGTTGAAAGTCAATTAATGCAAAGGTAAAATGAAAAAGAATTGAATGAAAAAGAATAGAGCACGCGCACAGAATCAGACGCAAACATTTCTAAGTTTCCTGGTTACACTGCGTGCGAAGTTTCACAGATACACTACTCCACCAGCGCAGCGAGCCAACCGTTCTTTCGTCTTCGTTGATATCGTACGAACTATTTCAATTCGGGCGTTCGTCGGCCTTCGTTTCCGTTCGTATGGTTTATATGTCTCTATAACATCACCTGCGCTCCAATACGTGACCTGCCCGGTTCTACCGCTCACAAACTGGCACACACTGTTTTAGTTTCCCTTGAAATCGGAAAACTTACATCTGTTCATACGTAAACGTGTCTCAAACTCATTATCGCTCGAATCTTTCATGTAAATCCCCAAGTCTCACTGATTTAACGTAATGTAAACTGTGTACACACTTCCTTATCTTATGAAGAAGTGTAAACACACTGTTGTACAACAAAGACGCAATGAAAGTGACTAGGAACATGCTGAAGAATAAGGTAACTGTAAATATGACGCTGACTGAGCACTACACCAATTAGACGAAAGGAAACTTGGAGGAAAGGCTCCATGCATCATAGATCTTGTCACTGGTTCGAGGTGAATGGTCAGCTTCCCGCTTCAGTTGCTTCAATCCAGAAGAACAGCTCCTCTTACCCAATGGATGGGTGAATGGGTATGCCTGGACTGCATTGCCACATCACACGAAAATCTTACGTGTATCATGGCAAATTCTTACTTACTTACTTACTTACTTACACATGGAGCTGAGCCCTTCTGGAGGAACAGCCAATTGTGCAGCTACTCAAGAATTTCCCAGCATTTTATGGAACCCGAAGGCTCATTGCCGTGTTCACAAGAGCCCTCCAATGGTCCCTATCCTGAGCCAGATCAATCCAATCAATACCATCCCATCCTATCTCTCTAAGATCCATTTTAATATTGCCAACCCACCTACGCCTTGGCCTTCCCAGTGGTCTCCTTCCTTCTGGCTTTCCCACGAATATCCTATACGCATTCCTCGTCTCCCCCATTCGTGCTACATGCCCTGCCCACCTCATCCTCCTTGACTTGATCATTCTAATTATACGTGGAGAAGAGTGCAAGTTATGAAGCTCCTCATTATGCAGTTTTCTCCAACCTCCTGTCACTTCATCTCTCTTCGGTCCAAATATTCTCCTCAACACCCTGTTCTCAAACACCCTCAGTCTATGTTCCTCCCTTAATGTCAGAGACCAAGTTTCATATCCATACAGAACCACAGGCAAAATTATAGTTTTGTATATTTTAATTTTTATGTTTTTGGACGGCAGAAGAGAAGACAAAAGGTTCTGGACTGAGTGGTAGCAAGCATTACCCGGGTCAACTCTCCTCTTAATTTCCTCCTGAATCAGGTTTCGATCTGTTATCGTTGTTCCCAAATATCTGAACTGTGCCACATTTTTAAAACATCTGTTTCCTCTCTTTATGTCATTGCCCTGCATTTTGGTGACGAGACAGCAACATATACTTAGTTCTCTCTGTGTTTACTTCTAGACCAGCCTCTTTACTTGCGTCAATTAAAGTTTGTGTGTTTTTCTTTATGGTATCTACATTATCATGGCAAATTCTACTGTCGTTAATTACTTTATGAATGATTTTTTTTGTTAGGCTGACTGGATGTTTAAAAAATAAATTCAACGTCACAGAAAACACTGCATCTCCATTATAAAAAAATCTAGTTGCTATCATTTATGGACACAATGGCTGCTTTCTATTGACATGAAGAGTACCCTGTAGTCCTTTGAAAGTCAACCGACGTTTCGGAGTAGCATGTCACCTCCATCTTCAGGATCAATGAATAAGTGAAGCAAGAAATCAGGATAAAGCATGTAGCAGGCAAAGAGTGAAGAAGGAGGCGATATGTTACTCCGAAACTTCCGTTGATTTTTGACTGACTACTTGAGGTTATACCTCAGAAACTAGAACTCTTCGTAACATTGCTGTTATATCCTCGGGTCCTCACGCTTTGTGAGTAAACTGTAGGCCAACAGTTCTGCAATGTCAAGGCATAGTTGCCACTGCTTCAAGGGGTTATCGCTGTATACGATACTGGGAATTAAACGAAACGTATTTATAAAATTGTAATTGTAGAAATAATGTTATAATAACAAACCGCAGTACATACTGTTATTTTGTGCGAAAAGCGAAATGACACTAGTCTGCTTCGCACCCAAGGTTGGGTAAGTGTCACTTTGGCTGAGTTGAAGTTTCTTCCTCCCTCCTTTGGCTCTACAGCCCCTATTTTGGCCTTGGACTATCTCCATGAAACTCCCCGTTTCACTTCGGTTTACTAGTCGGTAGGACTCCTTGGGCGGGTGATCAGCTCGTCGCAAGGCACAAACACAGAAAAACGCACATACACAAATACCAAACATCCATGCCCTGAGTGGGATTCGAACCCACGATCTGAACGAACGAAGAAAGTGCATGCCTTAGACCGGTGGGCTGAAGTTAACAAAGGCATGAAAGTATGAAAAGCTCCATAATTTTTTAAAGATGGAATTTATTGACGTCAGACAACTTACAAGATGATGATGATGATCATGATGATACATCATAACCAATGCGCTGAGTAACTGGATTTCTTTCTGCAGCCCTGATATTCTCCCAGTCATTCAAGGCGGTGATTGTGGTGGCTGTAGCTCTAGGGGTGGCCAAAGGAGTGCGTACGGTATACATGACTATTGTTATACCGTGCTACGTCCCCATCGAGCGCCTCGCAGCTGCGTCTGGTATTCAGATGGTCGTCAATGGAGTGCTGCTGATGGCGTTCGGACCTCTTATTGGTGGGTAGCAAACATACAAGTTATTCGTGTTGGTGCTAAACATATATTCACCGATACTCACCAGTGTAGTGTGTATGCTGTATGTCCCAATAGAATACTTGGTTATGTTAAATTTGGTCCTAAAGCATCCATTTCCTACTGGGGCAATTATGTCCGTATGTGTTTCGATAGAGTATTTGAACAGTACTGCTCATGCGCGCTAGGCCTCAAGGTCGAGTATATGCTCTGTTCGTATATGCAGTAGACGTCGATATGTTTTTTTTTATTGCTAGTGGGGTGGGACTATGTCCCTTGTACTGCGGCCATTTCTGGCCTATTGTACCAGCCCCAGATGATAGGTGAGGGTGATTGTGGAGCAATTGGTGGAATGAAGATTGGCAGGGGAAACCGAAGTACTAGGAGAAAACCTGCCCCAGAGCCACTTTGTCCACCACAAATCCCACTTGACGAGACCCGGGATCGAACCCGGGCCGCCACGGTGGTAAGCCAGCGACTAACCGCTTGAGCTATGGCGCGGCTCACGTCGACATGTTTCTTACCGATTATCTGGTTAATATTCCTCTTTAGTATTCGGCAGTTTCCAGGTTCTACCGCAAGCCAGTCGTATTTACTGTGGTACTGCGCGGTTCTTCTCAGACCTTACGAAAATGCTGGTATAGTTTCTTACCTTGAAATTGATCATGATACATCGTTCATAATTCGTTTTTACATTTAGATCCATAGAGCAGAGTCATTATTGAGAATCTAATGATCCATGAGCTAGCCAACAAATTCTCAAATCTTTTACGGAACCCGAAGTTTCATTACTGTGTTCACATGCTCCCGTCACTATCCTGAGCCAGGCAAATCTAATCCCTAACCTTCCACCTGTTTGCTTTGTGATTCATTTTAATATTATACTCTTGCCTATAAATCTGAGAAAGCATTATTTGATATATTAAGAGATGGAATTACAACAGGACCATTATAAGCTTCTATCACTACAGCTTTACCATTTGGCTGGAAGGACTGCCCATTCTACGACACTAGGCCTTGCTCGTCATAAGATGGAAACATCTGAAGTCCGAGTGAGTGGGATTTCAATTGTCGGGGACCATAGGACGAGTAGTTCAGCTTATCACATATGATTCAATCGATCAGACTGTGCCTGATCAATAAAAACAGATAACAAATCACCCCATATGAACTGAGCGCCGTAATACTTTCAAGGTCAGAGTTACATAAACCAAAATGCAGTAAATGAGATTGTGGTAATGACACAGACATCGTACAAAAATATGACGCTAGGATGCCTGAGCGGTATGATATTAAAGGCGTTAGAATTAAGGAATTGTCTGCGAAAACTGGAATGTCAGAACGTCCATTCTCCGGTTAGGGAGCTGAAACCAGGACATCGAAAATAAGAAGCATAAAAGTGGACGTTTTCTAGCAGGTTTCCCACAAAAAAAAATCTTTTATACATTCTCTCACTAATCCTAGATATATGTCTAGCCCATCATGGACTCCTATATTTTACTGTTATGACAAATTAGGTGGCCTCTAGGCCTGTTAGTTAGCATAGTTTATATGGCCTATTCGTTTGGAAACCGGGCACAGGTTTGCCGACCGGAAATATATATTTAACAGGGCCCTTTTTGAATATGTAATAATCACAATTCCCTCCCCCCTTACGGAGCTTGAATGCCATTACTGAGTCCACGAGGGCCCGATACTGGAAGCTATCATGAGACAGGGATAATCTACAGTTTACCTTCCAGCAATATTTCTGTAAACCCCTTTTAATATAATCTTATCATCTAAGTCATGTCTTCCAAATTTTCGCTTGCCTTCAAATTTTGATATATTTTTAAAATATTTTTCATGTTTCTCATATGTGCTGTATGTTCTCCCATCTTCCTCGATTTGATCACAGTCACAATATCTACTGCAGAATATGCGTCTTCATGGCGCAGTGTTTAGTTAATGCAGCATAGGAACAAATTTACTTTACATATTCTGACATTCCTAAAGACTGGCACTACGGGTGTCTGGGCTGTGACGCTGTATAGTTTGACCTACGTATCATTTCGGAAGGAAATGCTGCCTTCTAAACGTTGGTAGTGTAGCCGCCAGCCGACGTACAGCTGCCACGACTGTCACTCGAGCTTGAGTTCTTTATCTCAGGGATACGGGTGCTTCGGATATGGGAGTGGAACTCACTTCGGGGTTAATAAATCAGGGATCTCCAGAACACACCGTGTATTGCAGTTTTATTTTTAATTTTCATAGAGTAATTAATCTTTATATTATTCCTCCGAGTTAGCCGCTCCGTCCATCCTACTCGCTACCCCTACTGTAAAACACTTCTCTGTTCTCTGCCTACATTTCAACAAATGTCCTCCTCCGCTCCCTGTAACCGACTGCCCTCTCTTTACAAGTTCCCCAGTGGGCATAAAACAAAAGAAGAAAATAACAAGAGAAAGCCAAGGGTTGAGCCCCACATCTGTCCTACATTCGTGTTTTTCGAGACGCCCATAAACTTTTGTAGGTCTTCAAGGCACTCGAGCAGGGAACCCAAGACCCCTCCTGGCAGGTCTCGCACAAGGTTTATGACAAAGCAAAGAGGCCACGTTGGGAACAATAGTGGCACCCTATGCCTAAGGAGGACAATAGTTGAATTACAACTAGACGGTCCTGGCATCGTATAGCCCGAGGAGCGTCTTTCATGGTGTGAAACAACGCATGAATTCGTCATGCCCTTAATTAAATAATTTTGGCGGGGGACATGCGGTTACAGTAGTTACGTGTCAAATTATAGGCGTCACATGTCGGAATATTTTTAATCATCGTCGCCCGAGTCTCGATCTGACATATGAAATGAATTACTGTTACTTTCACAACCTCTTCTTGAACACCATTAGTTCGTTCCAACTTTCCTTGTTGTATGAAGTCCAATTTTATATCTATACAAACTAGCTTTAACTCTGTGGCCTGTAGTCCGCAAACGAACTATACCGACCGAGCGACCGCCGTTTGTCGGTGAAGTTAGTGCCAACTTTTGCGGATAGAGGGTGTCACGTGGTCAGCTCAGTGGATCCCACGGCCGTTAGTCTCGGTTTTCTAGACCGGAGCCGCTATATCCATACAAAACAAAAGGTAAAATTATAGACAGTGTCACGTAACTTCGATCAAGGCCCGCATTCTTAGTTAAATCCCGCGCATATCTTGTGGTGGGAGGAGTTTCTTAACACTCGTTCTTCCACTGGCCGACTGTCACTTCTCATACCCTCCACTCCCTTGTCTGAAAATTTTCTTCTGCGCATTCAAGGTTACTCTTGGCCTTGTTCGAAGTTACGTGACACTTGCTATACGGCACTCGTATTGTCAATATTTTGTTACGTGTTTGATATGTAATGTTAAAAATGTGTGTCTATAGGGGGCCCATTGAGCATAGTCTAAAAAATCCGAATTCATATTTAATTTAATAAAAGGAACATGTCATAAATCGTACACTTCGGGTTTATGTGCCAAAAATACGAACCATGGGCCACAGATTGCAATGTATCAAGAGTGTATCCATCAGATTATCCAGGCTTAAATCCATTAAACAAAAGAAGAGGGAGACTCTAATAAATTTCGAAACAGAAAATATGATTAAAATTGTAAAAAAGTGTTTATTTTTAACATTCAAAATGGCAAATCTTTTGTGTGTAATGACTGAACTTGAATGTTCATATAGACATAGGTACGGTATACGTAGCCTATACGAGTATCCAATTCGTAAAGTCGTTCTCCTTGACAATTAAAAACTCGTTTGTTTCTCGTGCGTCACACGGTGCACTCCTAGTGTTAATTTCCTGTTTGGTCTCTTTTCAACAGGTTTGATCCGAGACGTCAGTGGCAGCTACGATTTGTGCATCGGTTTCATAAATCTGCTGACTTTGATGACCCTAATAATGTGGACTGTAGAGATTATAATAACACGTTACCGACATAGGGGTCAGCGGACCACAGACGATAAAGCTGGAGACTAAGGAATATATCTTCAGTCATTTGTCTGCACAACGACCTAGGAGGCTAAATGCGCACTGTGGAGGACTGGCTGTGTTAACTGCTCTGTGCTTGCAATCGATTGTATTCGTGAAATTCCGTGACTGGAAATAGATGTGGATGAAAAGTGTAACTTGCCTCACCTGACGTATATTGGTCACAAATCGCACTGGGTTTAAGAGGAACAAACGCATCATCAGTGATAATTGAGTGCCTGGATAACGAATATATTAGAAATGGTGCAGAAGCGATAAAGTATCTTCGAGTGGCTGAAAGACTGTGAAAAAAAAATCTGTGTTTGTAGTGACAAACTTTGATATTAGAGGCCCCGAATGAAAGCCGCACTATTATGAGCTATGACGCAAATTTAAATTAAATTAAATTAAATTTTAAATTCCGATGCAAGATACTGTACGTAATCAACACTGACATTTTGTTTGTTCATTTGAATTAGTGAAATGCTGTTATGACAACCGACAGCATCACTGTTGTTTAAAAAGAATAACATACATCAGAAATGAAAATCAAATTCTAGTATGAAAATATAAACGGAAGGTACTGCTAGAAATGTCGTGAGAGGAGAGGATAATATTAAAATAGATCTTGAAGAACTGGAGTATGAAACTGTGTAAAATGTGTAACGACAAGGTAAAATGTCGTACTTTTATGAACAAACTGAAACACCTTTGGTTCAATAAAAGCAGAGAATTGCAAAACTAGTTCAGAAATGTTGTATTTTAAAAGTAAAAGTAAAAAGTAAAGGTATCCATGTAACAGGTCGTGAAGGCCCATAGGGTTGTGAGATGTTGAGGTTCCCACATTTTTTAGACAATCGTCTTATAGATGGCGGTAAGGTTGTCAGCCTTACGCGCCGGCCGTCCTTTACCGCCGAGAATATTCCTGGTACTCATTTCTGTTAGAGGCTGAGTCGACCCCAGGGCCGTAATGCGGCTGGAAGGATTAGGTAAATTAAAAATTCCACCTCATTGGGACTTGAACCCGCGACCGTCCGGCTTGTAGCATAATGCCTCAATCAACTACGCTACCGCGTGCCCCAATTTTATATTATAGCGGAAAGAAATGGAATAATTTTTGGGGTGGGGTAAGACTGAGTCCACTTGGTACGTTGGCCACTAACTGGCCTATTGTACCAGCTCCAGATGATAATGAGTGTGGAGCAGTCGGTGGAATGAGGCTTGGCAGAAAAACCCGAAATACTCGGAGGATTCCTGCCCCAGTGCCACTTTGTCCACCACAAATCCCATGTGACCTAACCCGGGCTCGAAAGCAGGCCTCTGCAATGGGAAGCCGGCGACTAACCGCTTCAACCATGACACAGCCAAGGAAATGGCATAGTACGAGCGTATGTATTCTGACGTGTTGCGCTGTGGAGGACATCCCCTTCCCCGCCAGCGGTGACGTAACAACATCGGGCGCAATCGCTGCTACGGTAACAGGTCAGTTAACATTCCGCCCCCCCCCCCACGGTGACGTAGCGGGGGATGCCACGGTTGCTCTGCAGCAGTAAACAACTCCCGACATAGTTGCCCAGCAACACCTGTAAACACGGCGACTAGGCAACAAGGAAGCGAGGCGTTTTCCCGTTGTCTGGCCGAGGGTTTATAAGAGAACTACATAGAAATGATCGAAGCCAAGGCCTTCAGAACATTCATTAGAGTATATTTCCTATTTAAAAGTGAGCGATTGAGCGCTAACATTAAACTGACCCTCAATAAAGCTCTTATTAGATCCGTAATGACTTATGCTAGTCCCGCCTGGGAATTTGCGGCAGACACCCATCTAGTTAAATTGCAGAGCCTGCAAAACAAGGTTCCCCACACCATTGGAAATTTTCCAAGGCGCACTCCGGTCCGCGAGTTGCACATGGCATTCAAAAGTCCATACGTATATGATTACATAACAAAATTATGCAGGCAACAAGCAGAAGTCATGCAAAATCATGCTAATGAGAATGTTCGCAACACTGGACAAGGTGAAACCAGCCACAGACAGTATAAGAGGCTTAAACTTGGCGGCGTTCAGACATACGACCGTTCAAGTGACTAGACTGCCGTGGTAGCGAATACTACTAGAAATAGGGCATAATCTGCTGTACTGAGCCTGGATTGACAGAGGCCTTGTAAATATTGTACATAGAAATAGGAATTAAGATTAAATTTGTAAATATATGTAAATACTGACAATGGGCTTACTAACACAGACTATGACTGATAAATGACATACCCGACCTCTCGTCAGAGAGGGCGCCCCAAATGAACAGGACAGTAACTTTCACATAAAAAAAATCTGGTCATGAGCCCCAGTCGGGGCTCGACACCAAGACAGAGAGACTGACGGACCGTCAGTCGCAATGTGACTTTGACTTGACAAGACTTACTGACTGACAGGCCTTAAGTCGCTATGTGACTTTGACTTTGAAGGGAAGTCTGAAATCTGAGACAGTAAAATATGTTCTCGAGTCTCAAGAGACTCAGACCCGAGAAAGACTACGCTGGCAAGACCCAGCAGCATGTAAAAAAGACAGATCCGTCCTCTCGTCAGAGAGGGCGCCCCACAAAAAACAAAACCGTAACGTTCAACAGTAATAAATATCTGATCATGAGTCCCAGACGGGGCTCGAAACCAATATTTACTGACTGACTTACCATCAGTCGCATTATGATTTGGACTTGGACTAACAAGTTAGTTAAAATGTAGCACCCGCCGAAAACAGCTGAAATATAGCAGCAGTCGCGAGAAGACCCGAACGCGTTGTTAGAAGATTTTATAGTGAGCGATAACTGAGAAGTCAGCAAGTGAAGACTTATTGTGTGACTTCAGGATCGTATGCTGTAATACAGTTATATTGGGAGTGTGTAATTAAGAGAGACTTGTATAGGTTCCGCGTTATAAATACGTGAAGACAGAGTGACTAGATTATTGTGTAGGGTTTATAAATTGGGTAAACCCGCAACTGTGCTATAATTATTTGTAGCTAAGACTTGTAGGTTGTTACATAAACCAATTAACAATCTGAACGGCGTCTTCAGTAGCAAAATACGTTACAGTATTGAACATGAAACCTTTCACACACGGGGCGTTTAAACTCCTTTGGATGAAATTTAAAGTGACAGTTCTAATTGTACCAGACTATAAAAATATACCTCGTCGCTGTTTATTTACGTACCTCAATTAAACAAAAACACGATAATAGGGGAAGGAGCACCCCATACTCCGAAAAAAACTTCATACTATTTCGGCCAAATTGCAGTTGTTTGTTTGCCCCAGTTTAATCATTATTATTTTTTAAAAATTACCCACGGAAAATTATATATTTTAAGAAAATAATACTTACATAAAATTGTGGCTGTGTTCTCCTTCAATGCCGACTGAAGCTACACTTGCAGTCCCACCCCATGTTTCACATCACCCCTAATTATGATTCTGCTCCGTGACCTTCAGGCATCGGGCTTCATCCAGGAAAGACTCAGTTTCATTCGTTTCAGTAACCACACTGCAGTTGGGGGAAGTCTGCTTCTTTGCCGTAGAGCACGTTACGCACCGAGAACCCCGAGTGCTCTAGCACTGAAGTACAGTCAGTTATGGTCGCAGCTGGGGTTTGGTATGTCACAGCTCGACGCATGTTACAATATAGACTGCAGTCACATTTCTTGCAACGGTACATTTTTTTTTTCATTGGGTTCTTCATTTAGTGGGAAGAGAATTTCGCTCAAGGAGAAGGGGGGTAAAGAAGGGACGACACTATAATTAAAAAATAATGTTTGCCGATGTAATTAATAATACTGGGTATTAAGTTTCCAGTGATATGGCCGCGCCATAGCTCAAGCGGTTAGTCGCTGGTTTCCCACCGCGGCGGCCCGAGTTCGATCCCGGGTCTGGTCAAGTGGGATTTGTGGTGGACAAAGTGGCGGTGAGGTGGGTTTTCTACGAGGACCTCGGTTTCCCCTGACAATCTTCGTTCCACCAAATTCTCCATTATCATAATCACCCGG